GGAAATGTTCTGAATTGGTTAAATTTACTACTTTAATGCATTATAATTATTTGAATTGTGACCTATTTTTAAGGAGCCATTTTTTTACAAGTATAAACTAAATATTCATGTAAATTATCCATATTCTTTTTGAACAAATTTCATTTAAATCTCATACGAATTGGTTTTTGTGAGGAATTATTACTAATACAATCGATTTCATTATTGTTAATTGTTGTTTTTAATCTTTAAAACTTACTTCAATCATTTAGAAGGACTTTGAAAAATCATATTAATTTCCAGTTTTAATCCTAAAATTTCAAAAATTTCACATTCTATTTTTTGGATTATTATATTTTATCTTAAATATTTTTTTGATTGAAATTTTATATCAGGTTTCTTCTGCATCTCAATTAAAACTAACTTATTATCTCTTTGCAGATGGATGTCAGTACCACATTTATTCAGACTATCGACTGTAGGAACATCCTCAATTGTTACTCCTTCTAATGAAATAACAACGTTACGTGAACGAAACTCTATTCTTTCGCGGAATAATGCTCGTCTTAATGAGGAATTAGTTAGCTTAAAACATTTCATAGAGTCATCTAGATGTCATACATCACATATCTTCAGCACTAATAGCAGCACCTCACCGCATAAATCATCATCATCATCAGCTGTCAACGAACATTCAGCTACCTTTGACTTAGCTGCTGATCTGATGCAGGTGAATTCATTAACTATTTGTAGTAATTCAATTCATCAATTTTTCTCTTGATTTTCCTTGAAACTTTCAAATGATTCATTTTAGGTTTTCAAAACAAAATGACTGCTTCCTTCTAAATGTTTAACTCGTTTATTCATGCTATTTTTGAATTTCAAATTACATTATCTTTAGGTGCAAGAAGATCTTGAAAATGTCATCATACAAATTGACACTTCCGTAACTGCGAATAAAATCGAAAATAACAGTTGTTCGAGTGAAACTCCTCCGCTGAATGTACGTATCTTTTCCAAATTGTAAATTTAAGTTTTTTTAAGCTTCTTCCTCGGTAACATGTTTCTACAGATATAATTAACTTCTTGAAACCTTGAATTTTAATTTTTTCCTCTTGAATAATCACCAGAACTGTAGCAAATGCTTTGATAAATCTCTCTGTAATATGGATTACATAAAAATGCGCTTGAAAATAATTCCTGAGAGAATCCTCCAGGACTGTTTATTTGGTGCTGTTAAAAAATCTGTGGAAGTTTTTTTTACCCCAGAAAACAAAATTTCTTAACTTTTCAGTTAACGAGACAAAATCCTTCACCACCAAATATAACCGAGCTTGAACATTTGAAAACTGCTTTGAAAAGGTCACATGAAGAACGCGAAGCTCTTACTGAGCAACTGGATCGAGTGACGTTTAATTTTCAAGAAGCATGTCGTGAACTAGATCTATACAAACATGAACTGCGTGAAGATGCATTAAAGTATTCACATGAAATCCGCTTATCGAGAAGCCGAAGTTTTGTTGAACTTGGGCGTACTACAGTTGATTTAGACGAGCATATTAGGTATAACATGAGAGAGTTCACCTCATTCTCATCTCCTTATACATAAAATCATAAACTAAAATTTAATTTAATAAGAGATTTTAAATGTTTGAGATATTTGGGAGATACATAAATTGCCGGATATTCTAGATGGAAAGAGAAGGCTGGTACGATGTTTCGTGAATTGAATCGGATTCGTAAAGAATATGGTGCCTGTGACAGTGAACGTCGTGAGTTACGCATGCAGCTCGTAATGTTACGAGGTGAACTTGGTTTAGCTCAGTGCCAGCTTGCGGAAATGTGCTCTAACCAGCGGCGGAAAAAATGTGAATCAATATCAAATGGGTCTGTAGTCAGCACAAATGGTATTTCGTCACCCACGGTGACTAAAAGGAAAAAATCAAATCTGTAAGTCATTTTTCCTTCTGCAACTTGCCGATCTTATACTACATATGAATTTTCAAGATACTTCAAAGTCTCAAATTAATTTTTAAAAAAATACAGTATTTATGATTAAGAGCTAGGAACAAGCAAAGACTGTTATCACTATGCAGTCATGACATTTATGATATAATACATGAAAAATACTGAAGATATAAGTACTTTTCTCTAGTTTAATGAGAGAGAAGAACATTATAGGTGAAGAGGTGATAAAAATTGATGAAATTAGTGATTTGTGGTTTCCCCCTGCAGGAGTTGACAGTGGATTTTCATTCGTACCATAGATCTGAAATACTGAATGATATTTGAAATATTTTTCTCTCTTGACGAAAAAATACCAAACTTCAAACTCTACAATTCTAACTATTAAAATTATAGAGGTTGCTTCAAGGTAGACCTCCCGATGAATTTTGGGATACAATGGATTCATCGTCCGCAATCTTCTTTACAGCTTGTACCTCGATGTCCTCTCTTAATGACGTAATGTGTTCGACAAGCGAACCGGAATTAGCTGCTACAAAGTCATTTTGCTTCGTTTCTTAATTTGTTCCATAGTTCTTTTAAACATTTTCCGTCCCACTCTTCTCAGTTTCAGGTCATGATAGTGGATATTTGAAGAAATTTACTTATTAAGCTGGGACATCGGGAAATTTCATAACTGCACCTGTTTTATACTCCATATTTTTATATGAGTTGTGAAATAAAACAGGGTTTTTTTTTGATTCATTATAGGATCCTCAGATTCTTCCCTGATTTTTTAATTTTATATTTGACATAGTTCAAGTATTTCTTATGATCATGTATGTAGTAACTATATAATTAGATTAGATTTAATTTCTAGATTTGAGGGTGTTCGTGAATATCGCCTCGCCAATCGTAACCATCGTGATTTATATCATTTACCAGCTTGTTCCCGAGAATCTCGTAGGCCATCAGCATGTCTTGAACAAATCCAACACAGTCCAGAGAAACACGAAGAAATCATCAAAGAGGTAGCCAAGCGCAAATAAAATCATTGAGTCAAACTGAACATCAGGAAAAAAGAAATGTGTGAAAAGGTAGTTCGAAAAGTAGTCGAAATTAAGATAATTAATCAAGAAAATAAATCAGCAATTTTCAAATGAATGTCGGAAAAATGCTAATTTATTTACTTGATTAATTCTCTTCGATTCTTAGAATTCATTTTTTTCAAAATCTTTGAAATATTCCCAATTTACAAAAAAAAAAAAAACTTGATCAAGTACTAATTTAAAATGTAAACTTTATTGGACTTTAATTAAATGCAGACTTTAATATCATGAAAAGGTGTGAAGCTAATACAAGGAGTGTTGAAATTGAGCAAAAAAATGGATCTTTAATAATCGAATTTCATCCCTACAAATTTCAAATTTGTCAGATTTTTATTCACCACTGTATTGCATTAATGAGCGTTTCTGTCGCCTTCCCTAATTACTGAAGGCGGAAAATTTTCAGGATTTCCATGATTCACGATCAGAATGGTGGTTGTCAATGAATGAAGAGCAAATTGTAAAGAATAGGCAAAAATTAAAAAATCTGGAAAAGCAAGTTGTAGAGATGGCAAAAGAACAAGCAAAGATAACGAAAGAGGAAGTATGTTTTTTTGTTTAAATTCCATCATATCATCCATCCTCTTTGTTGGCTTTAAAAAATCTTAAACAAATTGGGAATTTTAGCAAATTGAAAAACATTCCTGTCGGGTTGATCAGCAAATGTTTGCTCATGAAATATAGCTTTTTTTGGATATTATTGAAATTTACGAAGGGACAAGATTTGTTAACTGGATTATTGCAAGTAAGATAGAATTGATTGGAATAATGCTTTTGTTTAATCACAAATACTCAAACAAATCAGAATTTCCTTGGAATATATTCTAAACTGTAGTAAAATGCAGAAGGAAACATAGAATCTAGTCTCCTTGATCGTAAGCGTACTTAGTTAGCATTATAAATGATATTCCAGCCTGGTAGGCAATCACAAAAAATGGCAGTGTTAATGAACGGAAGTAATGAAATAATGAAGGGACATCAGAAAAAATATCCGACAACGTTTAAGAAGGATGAATGTAAGAGGTATGTACTTCAGCTTTCTACTCGGTTTCTTTAATATCATTTGGTATCAAAACAATTAGCAGTTGGAAGCAGGAAGCTACTCTGTCATTTCTTCAACCAAAAAAAGGCGTTTGATTTTCAGTAGTGACATCCGTCATAGGAAGCACAGCTTAAACTGAATTCCCAAGCAATGTAAAAACTTTGTTCTAAATTATAGATTGAAATGAAATTTACATATTTTTTTAGAATAAATCAGCAGAAGACCGTGTAATGCTATCGTTCCTCTCATAATACATTCTATATTAATTGAAAGTGCAGATTCGCTTTGATTTCATATTACTAGTATTATTTACTTCCAATTAATTCAACAAATGTTGATGGTCTCTTTTACTAGTGTGAAAAGTTCAAAGTGCATTTTTCTCGTTTGCATTTTCTGCGACAAATATTCTTATAATATTTAAAGCTTCTTTTATCAATGACAAATTAGTCTTCCAGAAATTTAGTAGCGACATTACAATAATTACTACTCAAAAAAAAAAAAAAAAGAAAAAATGAGGGACAGAAATGAGTCTGTTTGATAAACTATCAAAAAGAGTCCGAAGATTATAAGAAACTTTTTTTTCCTTTTTCTTTTCATTTAAAAAATGAATTAAAAGTAATTATTGCTGGGATTTTTGTTATTTATATTTGTAAAGTAATTTAAAAGAAGCTTTATAGGCAATAAAGAAAGCGTCAAATTGTTCGTTATAGCAAAATAAAGATGTATATCGACTTCACCAATTTCTAACTATTTTTATTTCTAATTGTTCTATATTGTCCTACATACATTAATTTTAATTTAATTTCATCGATTTGTTCCACTTTTGCACATCTGTATTGTTTGTTTTTTTTTAATTGTTTACGATTTATCCGGATCAATAACATCATTTTTGAATGAAAATTTCGAATTTCTACAGATTTTTTTTTTGAAATGAAATAATTTTGAATTTCAATACAAAGTTTCCGTTTATCATAAATTAAGAAAACAATCAGCCTTTTGCCAGTAATCTAAATGTATTCTCTTCTTTAGATTCAATCATCCTGTATATATTCTATCCACATTTTTGTAATCAGTGATCACAAGAGCATAGATTCTTATCAATGATATTTCACATACTATCTGTTTGTCATGACTCATCATACGACAATTTATGAATTTGGCAAAGAGGTTTAATTGTGTAATTATTCCGTTTATTTCATACATTTATCAGTTTGTTTTGAACTTCCAGACCATTCACCTATACTGTTACGAGAAATTTTAGGATATCATGGGATATTTTTGACAACAAAAATCAGCAATTATTCCGATCTTCATTTATTTCAAATCATTGTTTCCAAATCTGAATTTTACAGGAACAAAATTTGCATATTTTTCAACAAATTCAAAGATTTAACTAAATATTTTACAAAATTTTCTACAAATTAAAATCGTTTGCTTCTATTTGCCATGAAATGCAAAAGTAAATGCTTTACTAAGCTTTTTTTTTGTTAAATTTTTTCCGCTCAATTTTTTCAATCTGTAATTGATTAAATTTATCGCTATGACTGCATGAGCTACATGTTCCACTGATGTTGTTTGTTAAATTCATACAAAAATTACTATCACTGAAATCTCGTTATATTATTCTATGTCATATTTCACTTATTGATTTTCATTTGAGTATCATTTCTCGAATCAATATTAGCAAAACCATATAATATGTACTATAAAATTACAAAACGAGACTTCACTCTTTCAATTTTATAGCACTCATTGTTTGTTAAATGGTTCCTTGACATTATTAAGTTCATAATTTCCAAGGCAATTTAATAAAACATTGATTCAAAAGATTTAAATTAACACTTATCTATTCAGCTTATTTTGTTCAAACATTTATACACGAGAAAGGACATTATCAGTCTTTAGAAGGACGACAAATATGGCCAAAGATGTCCAAGTTTCTGTTTAGTTTACAATTACTGCTCGATTCCATTTATTGCATCATTTCACGACTTTTTGACAACAATAAATCATTCGTTTATTCATACAATATCCACTCCCACTAATATTTGTCGCTTATATGAAAGCATATGCATATAAAATTAAATTCTGAACGAAACTAAAACTAAAAATGAAGTTCTAAACGAAGGAATTAATTTCGACAAAATCATTTTTATTTACAAAAAAAAAAAAAACGAAAGAAAAATACGATGCGGCTTTCTTTTGTGATATTTCTATAAACATCAGAAAGCAATTTTATGCGGCATTGTCGTTGTTAATAATTCAAATTATGGGACATACCAATAACTGCGCCTCTTTTTTATTTTCTAAAAGAAGAATAAAACACTTTTACATTTTACCCTAACAACGGTGACATTATCAACTTGTTGTTTTATTGCTGACTTTCTTTAAAATTGGTCTTTTTTCTAAGATCAACAGCTGTTGTGATTAATTTGTATCAATTTGCAAATGACCTGTTTTTCTTTTTTATGATGATCTATTTGATTTATGAACTGTCAACATTGCCATTTTTTTCATTTATCCTTTCAGTTCAACCAAAAATTCCTAAACTTTCAGTTTTTATCTCAATAATGAAATGAAGAAAAAAGAAACGTTAAAAAAAGACGTAATGTGACACTGTTAATTTCAGATATGTCTTATTTTGATTTACTTTTGTCATTGTGACATGGCACAATTTGAAGAAAGAATATCTCTAACCCTTTTGAGATGCTGCTACTTCTGAGAAACCAATGAGCCATCTTTTTACTTTCGGATTTCCAAAAGATATCAATAATTTTTAATATCCAAAAAGGCAGCTTATTCATAATTTCATGAATTTTTTAACATTAAAATTTTTGCTGTACATAAATGAAAGATCACAGTGAACTAAATGAAATTACCTTCAATACGGCACTTTTCTATTCCTGTCATTGATTGTCACATAGCGCACAATTCCATGAATATCTCTAATCCCATTTCAGTGAGTTATTTTGGTTAATATTTTTGATGTATTTTGTTGTCAACAGGAGAAAATGCGCACAATATGTCATTAGATAATGGGTATCTTAAAGTTTTGTAGCATGTCATTATGTCAATTCTCGCGTAAACTCCGCTAGAAAGCAATCGGAAGATTCAAAACTAGTCTCTGTGCTACTACTATCGCTAATGGTACTTGTGGTTATCTTTTGTAAATGAATTATGATAATCAAAGGTTATATTAAGATAGAATTTTAAATTTTATTAAACTAAATTAATTTAACACTAATTTCGGGTGGATATTTTATGTAGCATTCTTACAAAGCGCTAATGTCGCAGTTATTCGATTTCTCGTTTTGCATTTTCTTTTCCCTCACTCGAACTATTATGATTAGGAAATTCAATCAGCAGAAAAAGAAGGCGTAACAATGATTTGACAGAAATTCTCTAATTAAATGAATTCGAAAAGCATATCAATTATCACTCGCAAATAACGTCAGGCAACAACTAATAAAGTTAATTTACTGCATTTCTCTACTTCTCCCTTAATTTGCATATAACACACATCCCAAGATTATATCTTTAATTTAGTATCTCGTGCCATAAGAAATTTGAATAGATATGATAAGGTTAAAAATGAAGACTGGAATGAGATCAGGACATTAGCGCATACAACCATGAATTGTAAAAAGATTTATCTTCATGATATGGCGAAATCAGTTGTAATAAGAATAAAATTCAGGAAGGTAATTCTTTTTTTAGTAATTTTGTTAGCCAAAAAAGATGATTTTATAAATGGGACATGACCGTTGGAAAGAGAATATTACTAAATAAGGGAAATGGTTATGACGGTTCTTTATCATTGGTTCTTTATTAATATGACATTAGTTTGAGACTTTTTTAATGAAATTAATATAAAGACAACTATTCAATTTTCATACTTCCTAATTTTTAATCAAATGAACAAATTGTTTGCTCAATTCTTTTCCTTTGCACTTTTTTTTTTCTTGATAGAATTTGTGATTAGAATTCTGGATAAGATTAAGATTGTAGCAATTGCACTTATCATATCACCCTTATCATCGCCATGTAAGATTACTACTAGAGATTAGAAATCATAAAAAACGATAATTCATTAAAATTTCAAAACAAAAAAACAAAAAAAAAACTACCCATGTATTTGCAATGTTTCTCAAATTAGTAATTATCAAATTTTCCTTTTTTACTGATAGAAATGTAAAATTTCTTTTCAGTAAATTCTTTGGTGGGCACTATGAAGATCTTTTTTATAAGTATATTAGCCTGGGGCCAAATTATTCCTTCATAAATATCTGGATATCTTTGTCTACAACTATTCCCTCCAATGAAATGACATGATATTTCAGAACAATCCTATTTTTACTGAATATTTTTGATCTTCTCCAAGATGTAGCAATGAATTTTTTTTTTCATTAATTAATTTCGTTAAAACATTTCGTAAAGTTTTATGTTACCGACAAAGCTTTCCGTAGATCATTAATGTTTTTGATGGTAAGCAGTCGGGAATGTGTTAATCTATAATTTGGCATTAAAATGGATCGATTTACCAATTTATGAAAGTTATTTATAGCCTCGGTTAAATACCATTCAATCCATCACTTGCGACAGCATTATTGGCTATTAGCTCTCAAATTATTTCCATTAAAGCGCCTAAAAATTGTGTCGTCTATTCTTCGTTAATTAGTGAAGGAATTAATTCTGTTTAATTTTAATTGAGTTAATTATTCAAATATTAGTATCGTTAAAAATTTCAAGTTGGATTATAGCAACACAAAATGATTGAAATTCAATGTTATTCTCGAGAAATGTTCCAAGAGAAAGTTTGTAAAATGGCAAATTAGTCAATTTTCAGTTATTATCTTATCCAAAAGCAAAAAAAAAAAGGAAGAACGAATTCCGGCATAAGCATCATGTCACTTCTTCATGGATAGATTTGTGTTCCAAAAATATCCACTACTATTAAGCAGTGCAAATCATGTATCTCATCATATAAATAACAATCGTTCTGGAATGAAAGGCCTATTAAGTAGAAGACCAAACTTAAATGGCCTAGGCTTAAAATAGTCGCTTATTTTGGGAAAGAAGAAGGAGACAAGTTGCCAATCGTATTGCTTTCATTTATCATTCCCATACGAAATTTAGCTCTTTTCTGACAAATTTTCCCTCCATCACATTTTTGCATCATTTATGTAAAAGGCGCAAATGACCATTTTCTTCTCTTCTCTAACCTTTTCTTT